AACGCTTTCGATATTCGCCGCAGAATAACATTTTTCTTGGAAACCACTTAGAGTACATCCATCACGAAATCTAACTGATTTGTAACAACAACTTATGGGCCAGGTTAATAGCAGTGTGCGAGATGGTACACTGATCCACCCTTTTATTTTGAAGATGGCCTATCATCGTTACATTAGCTGTAAAAAGTGTTTGAATATCGTAGTTTCCAACACGGGCCAGCTGTAATGTTCTTTGCTCTTAATATTGTATCTCTTCTGAAATTCTCACGGAAGCTCCAAAGTATTTGGATTTACGGTGCTTGCTAAAAATGGAGGATTGTCAGATGGTGTGATAGGACCTCGTCTGAGATAAAATGGAATACACGTATGCGTACGACGAGGTAACCAACACTACGTGGCAGGAAGAATTTTTCTTCAGAAATTTATTCTCCAATCATCAAAAGTGTAAATTGCTTCTAATTTTTGCATGTTTATGTTCATGGTGATGACTACAACAGTGCAAACTGACAGAATTATGAGCTGGAGCTGACTAGGTGCTTTTGGATTCAACCGCATCAGAGTACAAGTAATGCGATAGCCAGAGGGGCCATGTAGTTGTACTTACATATTGTGGGCTCTATCCTACGCTCGAAGCTAACCAATCCCTCCATCCCTTCCAAGTTAGCCTACATGACGACTAGACTTCGAAGGCTACATATGGAATGTTCAGACTTGCAGTAAGCTGCGCTGATGTGGTATGTGTAAGAAGGTAAGGAGTTTTCACACTTTTCATAAAGATTTTATGTGCTTGGTTTTTCGAAAGTGATTAAGAGACTCGCGTCGTGTTCGATTGAGCATAAAGTACCACATGTAATGTTTTTTTTACTAAAATACAAAATATCTATACGTATATGACTACTACAAAACGTCTACTATTCGAATACAGAACCGTAGAACTGAAAAACCCATTCCTCAGATGTATTCCTCCATTGGACAAGCACGTGGTAGATTTCAGCGTCATTGGACTAACTGTCTTCTATCTATTAAAGTTCCCTATGCATACCAAAGCTTACACATTACTTATTTTCCACCTAAATGCTCTTGGTCACTCAAATTAACGGATATACATGATCGTATTGATTTGTACAGTTTCTGTACTCCTCTTTGTGTCGGAGTTGCTTGCGAGTTAATCTCGAAGCGATATAAGGACATATTTAATCAATGACAATCTGTAATCGCTGATAACGTTCCGTAGTAATAATGGATATGTTTTTTAGTAATAATAAGAATATCGAAGGTCGTTTTCCAATATGTACGTTCCCTTCTACGGTGCTAGTGAATTCTTCCATAGGTGCAACACGCACTGATCCAAGCTACCGTACACCAGTTTGATGAAAAGTGAACAGACGAAAAAGTAAAGAGCGCCAATCTGAAAATGCTACCTGTAAAGAAGGAATTTTAAATAATATTGAGAATTCCTTGTAGAAATGAATATTAAAACAAATGAACTTTAAAAACAAAAAATATACCTGCATCAGTCTCAAAAAAGTCAAATGATAAATAATGAGGAGGGCGTCAAACATCCAAAAGATGAAACAGATTCCCTTCATAACAGCAAGCTTTCGAGATCCCTGCGTATAATGAAGTTCCTAATATCACTACCCGTGTTGCCCAAAGCTACTTCTAAACAATGATATTTCTCAGCTAAAATATTTGCCTAAAATGCTTATTTGCAAATCTTATTTAAATTAGGAATTTTCGTTCAACCAGTAGCGATAATACGTATCACGTCTCAAGTGTGGATAGGGAATTAGATGTGGACCTAAAGCTACACAACCATTTGTTCTCAAATGTATTCAAAGTATGGACTTTCTATACCTACTACCCACCGGTTAGTTATAGCTTCGATTTACTTCCGTGATATTGTTCTCACGAATCAACCGTACTCCAAAATTCCACTTGAACGCTAGCCTCTGTTTAGGTAGGTGTTTTGACCTGTAGTCCCGAGGAACACCCTCAATATACGCGCGATTTTCTTAAAGCCTAAAATTTCCTCCGAAAAATCGGTACGGAGACATATGTGTAAACTGTACCTTTCACCAGAATTCGGCTGAGCCTACAATTTAGTGAAAGGGAAATGCGTATTGAGTACACCAAAAAAAGCAGACATAAAGCACTTCAGCTACTAACAGCCTCTCCTTTGTAGTTAAAAAGAGTAATTCTTCGTATTCTTGTTGAGCAAACACGAGATGTTATTATTTTATCCTTTATTCACGAACATGCTAACGTTTCGGCAGATTTCGGCTTCCTCAGAGCTTGGAAGGGTCAAGTTGACAGCAATCTATTCCGCCAAACACCTCCATAACCAAACAGAAAAAAAACTTGTTTGTGAATAAAGATAACACCTCGCGTTTGCTCAACAAGAATACGAAGAATTGCTTGAACAGTGCCGAGGTTAATAGAAAGTCGGTCGTGAAAGTTAAAAAGAGTGTTTAGAAAAATAGAATGTCTTACATTTTTCCAAACTCTCTGCCCTTTTTCTAATTGAAACCTTCGTTGATACGGTTTTGGTTCAGAATAAAACTCCTCCAAGCGTGATTCTTTCTGTAGCCACAGTCTAAACTGATTTAACATGAGACTATACCACAATGCGATCTTTGCTTTCGTTTTTGGACTTTTTGAACTCGTTCAAGGCGCTTCCAGAGCTTAACGCGGTTATGCTTTGGAAATACAATGACGACGATACCAACTTTTACTACAAAATCTTCTCTGTTAGGTTTCTTTGTCCGCGCGCCTTGTGGAGTAACCTCGCGTCATATCTCAGACTCATTTTTTGGCCTAAGATAAGCACATTCCTCACCCATATGCGACTTTATGCCTCTGGTCCCCACAAAATAACTGGGAGGCGTACAAAGAATGAGACGGTAACTGGTTAAAGGAGGTTGTTTATTAAGTCAATAAAAATTTATGCCTTACGTTTTACCTGCTGAGGTTGCGAAAGTGCTTGGATGAGTAGATTACATGTCAGGTTGAATTTTTAGGTTCTGAAAAAGGCGAGACCGTCGAAACGTCTGCTATTGTGAACAAATAAGTGATTTAGTAGCAAACTCGTGTTTGCTCATCAAGAAAACAGTGAATTAATGATAAATGCCGACATTGAAAGAAAGTGGGCACTGAGATTTGCACTAGACAGTGTTGGTTTGGAAAGCTTCATCGTGGTGAATTCAACGTAGAAGATGAAGAAGGCCGCGGACGTTCTTCTACCGTATACGACGATAATCTGAAGGCGTTCTTGGAAGAAAACACAGCACAACTGTCCGGGAAGTCGATAAAGCGCGATAAATGAATTCCGCACAAATTGAATGATAAGTAAAGAAATCGCCGCTTTAAAGTGTATTCGACGCTTCTTCTCTGCAAAGAGAACGACCCATTTCTGGACCGCAATGTGACGTTCGACAAGAAATTGCTACTCTGCGATAACCTATAACGATCGGCTGAGTGGTTGCATTGCGATCAAGCTCAGTAGCTTTTCAATGTCGAACGTGCAGCTAGAGGAATCCTGAAGTTTGCTGGCACACAGCTCATTTGATTTTTCACAGTTTCCTAAACAATAATGAGAAGATGAATGCGAAGAAGTATGTTCAACAAACCGATGAAATGCACCAGAAGCTTCAACACCTGCGGCCAACGCTGCGAAAGTTGGGCGAACTAGACTGCGAAGCTCTGCCTCATCCAAACATACTCGTCAGCCCTAACGCCTATTGACTACCACTTCTTCAAACATCTCGGAAACTTCCTATCTGAGAAATGAATGCTTCAGAAAGCAACCTGAAGCCATCACTGCCTGCTACGACTTCATCCCCACGGAAACCGAGAACTTTATGCAATTGGAATACATAAACTTATCTCCTGTTGCCAATAATGTACAGATTCTAGTGGCTGTGTTTCGATTAATAAATTTATTCTGAGCTAATATATTACAACTCGGAAAATGCATTAAAATCGGACAATAATTCTTGAAGAAGCTGTTAACACTACCTGGACTTTCTCCATCTCGGCGCTCTTTTAAAAAACACAAATGTGGAATTCGATTTTCTCAATGGCTTTGTTTTTGTTTACGCATTTTTAATCTTTCGAATAGTAATGTAGGCACTAGCCGCCAAGTGGTGACCTCTTGGGGAATTGTTGGCACGGGATTCGAAGCATTTGCAGGAACGACAATTTTCTACAATCATCATATTAGCAGCAGGTGAGAATTGCCATGAAGAACGCACGATCTTTTGTGGTTCGTGAAGATGCAGTGATTAAAAAGATAGATTTCAGTCACTTTTTTTTTGCAATTTCTGCTAGGTCAAATAGACGACTACATTAGAAGGTTAATCTAAGTAGAATATGAGCGTCTGATAACCGTTGGAACAAGTGAAAGTTAACTGACGTTAAAAGACGTGCGATCTATATAGATTGGATAAATGCGAGACGAAAACGGCTGTATATTTCCGTATTTCTCCGAATCACTTCCATGGCCACTCGATTTAGAACATTGGGTAGAATAGACCCAGAATCAACGAAAGCAAGCCTAAGGCGCAGTCGCTGTCGTTTTAGGTGCGAACTACCTTTAACTCCAACTTAATTTATGAAATAAAAGTATCTTTTTATCACACATTTCGAAAAATACATACTTGTAGCACGTTACACTATACCGATATATAAATTAAAATTGTAAAAATTTTACAATCTTTGTTATTAGTGAAAGTGCCACTTAAAAATTTTAACATTCTACGATATCGGTACGGTGTAACGTGCTACAAGTATGTATTTTTTGAAATGTGTGATAAAAAATTTTATATGGAAAACTTCAGTTTTTCAAAAAAAAGTATTTTTTTATAAAAATCGCGGAATACTGGATTAGAACTGAAGTGCAGATCCATTGATGAACCACCGCTCTGGAAATGATTTTACGTGTTCCCACAAAAGTTAATTTTATCACCTTTCAATTCTAACTCCCTTTCCTGGTAATTCACTCACTCATTAAGCCACCGTGCACATTCCACCTCACTAGTCGGCAACTCGTTCACTGGGATTTTTTTGATATGGAAATGAACCTCACGTGGGCAAACGCCCTTCACGACGAGATCGACCTGAACAGAATAGAATTCGATTGTCATCAAAAAGAACCACATGGGAACACCGAAGCTTTTTTACTCACTTTCATCCCCGATAACAAAATCGTCTCAAAATCCGAGCTCTTCAGCACCTGCTTCTTATCATTCTTCTATTACTTAACTCTTGAACGTTTAGGAGGCCATGGGAAGAACAATAAGCTTGGTTGTAAGGCAACTAGTGTTTCCTTTTAAACGTTTTTGCATGAATAAAAGAACATGTTCTATTTTATTTTGATGTTAATCTCACCTCAGACTGCACAATATTGTATGGATAGGCCACCGAGATATCATACACGTACGTGATGAAGTGTGCTAAAAAAAAAGATGAATAAAGGAAAAGGTTTTGAAAAAAATATAACTCAAGCAAGAAGTTTGCAGCGAGAATTACGCTAAACGCGTCGCTTTCTTTCCCAGCATTCACGAGGTTGTTATACAGCATACGTTTACTTGCATACAGAAAACACGCACAACACAACAGTAGCTGACGTTTCGGCAGTAACGCCTTCTTCATAGCCTGGAGGAGTATGCTGATGTCCAATATACTACACCAAGCGCTTCATTGTCACATACAGAAAGACGAAAATCTACATGGCAATAACATAGTCACCAGCTTCTCGAAAAACCTACCGTTTTTCGACGTGTCTTCCACTGAGGAAGAAAAGAACAGCTGATTATATTCGCTTATGGTAGATGACTGCACCACTCCACATCGGAAATCGATGCGATGATACGGGGGCCAGATCGCGTGTGACCTGTGGGGTTCCTTCCTGCTATTCATTGTAGGGTTCTTGGCATTTATCCAAAAAGCCTCAAGAAGTTTTTGCGCTAGTGCTTGGGCATTCCGTGCGAGCAAAATGACTTTCATATCGAAGTTGTCTCCACTATGGTTTTATATGCTGTGCATCCCTATTGGGATACTCAAAAGGTTAGACCCATTATCAGCCGTGTAGATGGGCCAACGAATAAAATAACACGATTTCTAAGCGAAATACCCAGTTGCTTAACAGCGTTCCAGTTCATCTCTTGGACTTAAATGTCCCTAGAACGTCTACGTAATACGGCTCCTGATAACGCGTACATGATGGGGTCTTTCGACGTGTACGTGCTTTGCACTAACGTATCGCATGCCTCCGCAATGTAAGGCATCCGTAAGCTTCCTGCTCATCATGAAGAAGCAATACATATGCATGGTTTGTCTACTCAGCAGCTTATGGTTCTCTTAAAAGAGTGCCTCAACTGCTCGATTTCCAGATGGTCTGGGAATTATTACGCGCAAATTAGAGGGTTGGGAATGGATCAGTGGATGGCACCAAGTTTCGTCACTGCATTTATATCTAAAATAGAAACCCTGTTACTGATCTCCAGACGCTACTCTGTTGCAGATATATCGATGACTGTTTTGTAATCTTCTCTACTCAAGAGGAGATGGAAAATGTTTTGATTTATTGAATAAACAGTCTGAGTGCGTCAAATTCACCCGGGAGAAACCGAAATAAAATTGCTTCCATTTCTCAACGTTCAAATTAACATGTCCGATAACGGCTACATGGCATAACGGTGCCGAAAACCAAGTAACAAGAGCATTCTTGTCCATATCCTCTCTTCGCACCCTTCACACACAAAGAGGGCGCTTGTTAGAAAGATGTTTCGAACAGCCACCTCTGTGTGCACGAGCAGGGAACTAAAGGACCAATCGCGCGACTAGCCTCGGAATTAGCCATCTCCAATGGCAACGAAATAGCAACTCCATGAAACATGTTTGAAAAGAGAGAAATGGCCCAAAACGAAAAGCGTGGCCAGAATAAAACCTCGTTTATGTTGCCCTTCACTAGCGATGAAGTAAGTGTGGCTATAAAACGATGCTTAAGAACGGCACGTCAAGAGGAGTCGGTAGCGATAGTTGCAATATCACCCGATCCTTTTCGTCATCAACTAGTTCGTAACCGCCTATATGACAGTCTGTGCGAAACACAAAATTGCGCAGTTTGCTCTTATGGCCGGGACGGTAATGGCATGAGTTGAGGTACGATCTACTGGCGAAACGTCAACTACTGTTGTGTTCTATCTGCTTTTTGTATGGAGATAAATGAATGCTGTGTAACAACCTCGCGATTGCTGAACAAGAAAACGACGCAATTATAATACAATGCCAAGGAGAATACAATGCCGATCCTGGGAACTACTACACTAAACATTCAAAATATAATGCACCTTCCCTCATTTTCTCAAGCAAATAGTAAAATCCGCCTATTCGTGGGTACAACAAATGCTTCAACTCCTTCAGACCGTTCTTTTTTGCGAATTCCAAGCTTTTTCTCGCCGTCCACGACGATTTATCGGTTCCCTCAGGAAATAAAACCACCTATGAAACTTAGCCAAATAATTCGTATTGTGTAAACCAATAATTTCTAATTCTTCCCAGCAGAAATCCATGCTCTTAAAATGAAATCCAGTCATAGTCCTTAAGTCTAACAACGACTGAGCAAAAAATATGGTAAAAATTGTACTAATTCCGCACTGTTTTCTTGATGAGCAAATACGACGTTGTTAACAGCTTGATTTGTTCGATACAATGCATACCACCGACGTGTCGGCGGTTTCGTTGTCTTCAGAACTTGGAAGAAACAAGCAGTTAACTCAATCAAACACTTTCATACCACAGCAAACAATACTTAATAAATAAATGGTTCTTATGGGGCAGATTGCACAACGGTAGTGATGTCGGTCAACAGGAGCATGGTGCTAGTTCGATTCCACTGCGAACCAACCTAGCCTCTCATCTCCCCGGGGTCGAGAAATTGCTACCGGACTTGTCCGAGAAAAAAATTACTCGCTGCAAACGAAATGGGTAGGCTGCAGCCCGGCTATCTCACGACTCCAGGGAGAATTGACTCGACCAGCTTTCTAAAGATGAAATGAAAATCCTCAAGCAGTAGCCGAAGCCACGCGTAAAAGTTGAAGATCTTCGCGGATGGTGGACGCCAGAAATCCAACCGGATGTGGGAATTGCTGGGATCCGCAGCGGAGACGTGAAGATGAGTCGTATAAAATAAAATAAAAAATATGTATTCAATTATGCATATGCAGGTAATTATTAATTATGGCATCCTGTGTATAACAAATATTTAAGTATTAAAATGTGTTTAAACTGTTGAGCTTACACGAGGTTGATAAGCATGTTTATCGGCTGACGTCTCGACGCCTTCGTCTTCATCAAAGCCGATGATCCGAATCGATGGTGCACAGTTGTTCGTCTTCTTGATGTGACGCCTTCGTTGTCGTAGCGAGACGGACTCCAAATATACGCCGTACAAATGAGAAACTTGTATTGATATTCGCTATGTGCTAGCTAACATAATACCGACTGCTGCCGAGTAGATTAACCGTTGAAAAACAAATTAACGTCAACTGATAGTCATATCAACAACAACCGCCCTGCTGGATGAGCATATCTCATTTGTGCGATGTTCTACTGAAGAAGATTCGTCTCGCTGCCACAATGAAGACACCATATCGGAAAGACGAAAAACTCCAGATCGTCTAGTTGGATCATGGGCACTGATGTAAACGAAGACGTCTCAACGTTAGCCAAATAAATCTGTTACATCAACCTCGTGTAAACTCAACAATTTAAATACGTGTTGTTTATTTTACTACCGAGGTTAAATGACGCTCGATTATAAAGTGTATTAAGTTGTAATCACAATCTTAACTCTTTTATTTACTGCCTTTTTCTTCTTAATGGCAGGGTATGTTGTGAAATACAACTCGTATGAAGTGCTGAGATATCTGCAAAACTCCGAACCACAGGTGTATGCAGTGGAGAACGAACACGCTCTGTTGTCCTTACCGGGGAGCAGCGCACTTCACCACTACACCATCCGGGTCCTTCGCTTCGCATGTATCTCAGCTAGTTCTATCGATCTTTTTGCCATCAGCAATCACCCGTC